AAGGATTTGAGGGAAACATAAGGAACGCTGAAGCAGTAATTATGAATCCACGTTCCTTGTAATTTGGTTGTGTTTGTTTCCAGACCTCTGAGTCTGTGTTCCTCGATGCATAAAGATTTTGTTACCTGACCAATGGCTTTTTTCCTCCCTGACAATTTTTTGACAAAGTTATCTTGTTTAATTTCATATATTTTTTTAACACTGGACCCTAGGTGGATGTTGTTTTTTAAGAAAACCTATGTAGATTATGCCTTATAATGGGTAAATTTAACCCACTGAATTATGCTAGCATATGATTTATATGTTTGTATACTTATTTTAAACATTTCAAAACTTGCTTTGTCTTTTTCCTAACCTTTTTTATTGACTTTGCTTATTATAATTTAGATTTATTGAGGTTTTTAGTATTTTTTTATGGCTTGGGAGTCATTAATTTCTTTGCTTAGTTGTTTCTTTTTCTTCTTTCCTCCTTCCTTTTTCTCTTCTCCCTCTTACTTTCCTTCCTCCTTTTTTCCTCTCTTTCCTTCCCATCTCCTCCCCTCTTTTCCTCTCTCCACTCTTCCTTTTTCTTTCATATTCTTTCTCTCCCTCTTTCCCCTTTCTCTCATTCTTTTGTCTTTCCTCATTCTTCTCCCCTTTCTTCCCTTCTTCCTCCTTCTACTTCTTTCTCCTTCCTTCATCCTCATCTTCTATCCCTCTGTCCTCTCTTGCATTTTTCCATTTAGTGATTTTTCTTCCATTGTTAACACATATAAATAACCACCCAATCTAAGGAAATAATGTCTCACCTCTCTTTTCCCCCAAATAAAAGGGCCTTAGAGACCACTTTGATCACCTTTTAGTTTTGCATTATTTTTGTCTTATTTTCCAAAGTACCACTTTTGGGTTATTTGTTATCAATCAGTAAGGACATGGTATTCTAAAGGATTAAGAAATGAACAGATGTCCTTGCTTTTTATCACCCCCAAGAAGTGCTCTTTCTTCTTGCTCAGGGACAGCAGTTTTTCTTCCTAGTGTGATTTTTTTTCCTCTGTTGTTTGTCTCCAAATCTCTAAATAATATCCTGCCGTAGTTATAGTTTTCATTTCTGTATATAACACATCAACCTTTTAGCACAATCAATCGTGACTTAGCTCTTTAACTTCCCCACCCTGCCCCAGAGCCCCACCTTTTCCTTTCCCATTATCTTAGTGTTGCTTATAGTATTGGAATGAATGATTATAAAGTATGCTCAGTGATTTCTACTCCATAGCACACTAAACATTTCAGGATTGTGAATTCAGTTCCATAATAGGGAATATCCAATCTAATGAAGCTCAGAGAAAATTGATGAATAGTAATTTATTGTAACTGCTAAGGTGTCTAAGTTAGCAAAATAAGAATATTAAATAATGGAATTTCAGGCAGAGTGGATGATCAAGTTAGGACATACCTTCCTTTTAGGACTACTGAGCAACGAACAGAGGACAGGCATTAGAAGACAGGAAGTTAAGACTGATGAGTTCATGTGTGTGTTCTTCAGCTAGAGGCAAGCAAACCTTTCCACGTTGGAGTCCACTCAACTCTTTCACAATGGGCCAGCTGTTGAGACGTGAAACCAGCTTTAGAAAACCATTAATGAATGTCTGTGGGTGTATGTTGATGAAACCCCTACTGCACGCCATTGCAGTGGCTTTGCATTGTTTCATCCCGACTCCCCAAACTTTCACCAAATATACAATCTATTTTTTATGGAAGTCATTTTATGGAACTTGAAATTGCAAATGATTTCCAGAACTGAAAACCACACCTGGCTAATGGATATCACATGGTCCAACCTGCTCCTAGAAGCTCTAATGAGGGGCCTCAAATTCATCCCCACCGCCCATGTGTGACTGATATTTGCACGGGGTACCAGTCAGCATTCCTAGTAAGAAACCCCAGTAGTTAATAGGCTTAATGGAAGATCTTCAGGGTGCAGAACCAACCAATCTGGCTTCTCAACCATGAGGACATAGTGCTGTGATACTGGGACTCTTAAGTATCTCCATGGGGATCTTTTCAAGATGGCCAGAGATATGTCGGCCAGTTGTTTTACGTCCTTGTTGTTATAACTGTCAACAAATAAGAAAGGGTAATTCTAATTCTTTTAGAAATCTGTTAGCTTGGATCACATTCCAATGCATTGCAACTTGAAAAATAATTATGTGGTTGGCCACACCTAAATCATAAACTATATTTATACACATGGCACTAACATCTTTAGCACAACATGTTAGCTACCACAACACATGAGATGATTTTAAGGAACTGGGACCATCCTTGAGCATAGAAAACATTAAGTAAGTGTTCCTGAACAATCTCTTAAATGCTCAAAATAACACCAAAAGCAGGAGGAAGGCAATAAGCTTATTTACTTTGAATTTATTTTTATAACATACATACCTGAAGACCAACCAAATTCTTAGATTATAAGGTTAACACTGGTGATTATAAAGTCGTCTTAACCTTAGAGGTAGTCCAACACTTTCTTTGAAACCTGTATTTATTGAAAATTTGTGGGTGGTTCAAAGAGATATACTAAGGCTTTTATTAGCTGTGTGCTGCACTAAAAAAGTTTCTGGCTTAGTTCCCTACAGGGGAGTCCCACTTCTTGGCTATTAGTATAATTTCAGAATTTTTCCCCATAAATGCCTATTAAAAATTTTTTTTTAAAGATTTATTTATTTATTATGTATACAATATTCCTTCCATGTATGTTTGTATGCCAGAAGAGGGCACCAGATCTCATTACAGATGGTTGTGAGCCACCATGTGGTTGCTGGGAATTGAACTCAGGACCTTTGGAGGAGCAGGCAATGCTCTTAACCACTGAGCCATCTCTCCAGCCCCCTATTAAAATTTTTAAGGAGGAGAATGTTATTCAAAACTGGAAGAACACTTTTTCTCCTTTAGAATATTTCCAGCATCCTGCCTGAATAGCACCCTAGTCTTCCTAGTCCACCCATTTATAATCTAGTCATCAAATATGGAGCCTTGGCAAAGACAGGACACACTTGCCTGGGGCTTAGTGTTTTATTTTAAACTCTTACTTCTTCAGAATTAACGGCTCCCTTTGAGGAGACCACAACTTCCCCTCCCTGCTTCTGTTCATTCATCAGGAGGATTATGTGAGTGGTAATTCAGGTCAAAAGCAAGAGAAATAGAACAGAGGGCAGGAGAGCCTTTGTTTTCCTTTCTGAGGAATTTGGGCAAGATTTAATGAGGAGCATTTCCCATTTATTAGTTTTTGAAATACATAACAGCTGAGGAAAAGTATTAATTTTGGCTTTATAAAAACGCGGATTGGTATATCCAAAGCAAATTATACAGACTTTGAGTAGGTCATGTAAAAGGGCCATGGTGTGGCCTCAGTTATTGGTGCAATGAGGCAATCATGTCATAAACATTTTCTTTGATTTCCCAGGATTCCTTTCCAATGGTTGCTACCTGCTTCTGTCACCCCCACACCCCCCAATCTCACCAGTCCCTGCAAGTCCCTCCAGCCAGGTTATTTCCTGCCTCTGTCATCTCTCCATCCCTCACTCCCCTCCCCTCTCTCCCCTCAAGTCAACCTTCTTTCCACAGAGGTTTTGTTTGTTGTTTCTGTTCTGAGATTCTAAAGCAGATTTGATCATGGGTCTGAAGGTAGCTTCAGGATAATGATGGCATCGGATTCTTCTCATTAAATTCAAACCGCAGCGAACCAGAGCCAAAGCTTGATATAGTTGAGATTCCTTTTCTCTTGGTATTTATTTGGCTTTTATAAGACACTTGGTTACAAGGAGAAAGTTTCAAGTTTAAGTGTTTACTTTTGATCTTTTCAATGTAAACATTTTAACTCTAGTTTGTAATCTCAATGCACTTTTATATGTTTAAATTTCTTTTTTAGCTGACAGACAAAAGTAAAAGCTGTGTATATTATAATAGGGAGTTAGGTTTCAGTACCTGTGCACATTGTAGAACACTAAATCAGATTAAATACTTCCATCTCCTCAAAATTTCAGTATTTCCTAATGTAAAAAAAATCTTTTTAGTTTTATGAAATGGACAGTGTACTTCTGCTAACAGGCTAAAACTTAGCACTTGTTGATTTGAATACACTTCACATTTTAATCATAATGGCTTACAGATCCAAAAAGATGCCCTATAATCCCCTTCCTTTCTCCAACTATTATGCTGTGAATTCCTTCTCAAGCGTTTGCTCTAGGTGTGCCTTCCTGCAATTGTAAGTATTGCCTAAGATTCACAGTAGAGTCTTTTCTAATGTGATGGAGCCACATGCAAATGAAGGACTTCTACTTAGTTCAGGCAATCGTGCTGTGCTGCCGAGAATTCCAAAGTGACGATTTTCTCCCGTCACCGGTGGTTCAGCTTCTCGAACTCAGATGGCGATCTTAAACACCAGCGCATTAGAGGGCTTAAGAAATAATTGCGTCTCTTCATGTGGAGCTGTGCGTGGCCACGGCTCTGGTGTGCAGAAACTTTCTAGCTTTGTAAATATTAGATTTGACAGTGTTGCTAGGAAACACACCCGGGGAAGTAAGTAGAATACAAATTATAAAGTCTAAACTTTGCTGCTGCAAACGAAGCAGCCTGAAGGCACTTTTCTATTGTCAAAACAGTTGTGCGTACAACGTTTTTATGCACGCGTTAAAAGTTAAGAAGCAACTCCTTAAAATGAAGTCATCGTTTCCTCTTTCATTTTCCATATTCTTTTCTCTGTGCAAGCTGAGTTGCTTAAAGCCACCTCCAGGACAAAGTCTGTTCCCAGTTTACTTCTTTTGGATTGGTTAAGCCCCTCTTTAAGAGTATGCTTAGTTCAGGGAAATGCTTTAGGTCAGTTGAGCAACACACCCGCTACTGTTAAAAAAAAAAAAAAAAAGCTGAGTAATGTTGGCGCTTTCTCAAGCTGGAGCTTTCTCATGTGGCTGATGCAAACCTGGAGAATTTGCATCATCATTGTAGCCCAGTAAGTTGGTGTGACAGGCTGTAGCATAAATAGGAGCCCACGAGGAAGCTGAGCTGGTGTGTAATGATAGGGGCAGCCGCCGCGGCTGCAGCAAACCGACGCTCCTGGAGCCCGTGCCACACACAGGTGCTCCGGAGGGGCAAGGGGGTAATTAGATCGCCACGAAGGCTCTTACACACCTCTGAGTTTTCACCTGTGGACATCACAGTGCCGAGCCAGTCAGTGAAAGCAAAGAGGAAGCAGGGACCAGTCACATCTAGAGAAACCAAAGTTGAAAGTTTGTTTGTGTTTGTTTTTTTTTCTTCTTTTTCTTTTTTTCTTCACTCCCCTCCCCTGGTGTGACACTATCATGGTCAGAAAGCCAGTTGTGGCCACCATCTCCAAAGGAGGTTACCTGCCTGGCAATGTGAGTGGGAGGCTGCCCTCCATGGGGGACCAAGAGCCACCTGGGCAGAAGAAGGTGGTTCTGAAAAAGAAGATCACTTTGCTGAGGGGGGTCTCCATCATCATCGGCACCGTCATCGGATCGGGCATCTTCATCTCCCCCAAGGGCATACTCCAGAACACGGGCAGCGTGGGCATGTCCCTGGTTTTCTGGTCGGCCTGTGGAGTCCTGTCACTTTTTGGTGAGTGTGCTTCTTCTCTGGAGGGGTGTGGCTGTGGGGCTCTCCGGGAGAGCAAAGGGTTATTTCTGAGGAGTAAATGAATGGCAAATACTACCGGAAATATTTTGAATTTTTGTTGTTGTTGTTCAGGTATGTGCACTACCCAAACACACTGCTGTTGGCATAGACTGAATCCTCTTGGATTCTTTCCTTCAGGCTACACTCCTTTCTTTTCCTGTCTGAGACAGACTTCTCTGACTTTTCTCTGGTGTGAGGAGGGCAAAAACTAACTTTGATGACCCGGAAAGCCAAGCAAGCCTTCTCTGCCGAGTCTGTGAGGCAGGCATGCTTAGGGCGCTGTGGCAGCTGGCTCGCTGGCTGAAACACCTGTGAGGTGCAGCCCGCATGGCCTATTTACATGCAGAACTGGATGTTCAGAACACGGGCACAGACGTTTTATTAGCTTAACAAATGGGTGGTTGTCTTTGCCTTTTTGATACTTTTAATTCATAGACTTGTTCATTCCTAATATTATGCTTTCAAAAGTCCTTGGAAAGATAAGTGTTTGATGTGACTCAGTCTCTTGAATGGCAATGACTTGAACTTCTTCCCCCACTCCCCCTTTTTAATAGCTTTAAATGAGAAAAATTCTCATAATTTCTCAGCATGAGCCTCCAGGCTTCACTGGATGTGAGTCTTCCCCACTTTGCCTGGATCTGTTTTCTTCATCTGTGATTTACTCCGTCTCTAGGGAAACATAATTTCTCCACCCGTTCACTGGCTATTATTTTTTTTTCTCTTCAAAAGTTCTGTTTCTTTGATTGGTTTGAGGCTTAATACCATAGAGGAAATAATTGACTCTTGATCAGGAGGGCGAATCAGCAGAAAACTCCCCGAGTTCATTGTAAAGGTGACAGAAAGTGGTGAATGGTCAATTTATTTGACTTGATTTATGTTTTGGTCCCAAAGTAGCTCATAGTTTTAAGTTATTCTGTTAACCTGGGACCAAGTTACTCTGGAACCGAGTGCTAACTCGGGCTCCACTCATTCTTTCTGCTCAGGTCTTATGATATTTTAAATCGCTGTTTGGGGAGAGCTACTTACAGAGGGAACCCAAATATCTGTTTTTAGGATGGAGGCATTTCAATTACTTTTAAAAGCAGACTTCCTATAGAAAGATCTATGGCTCAATTAAGAACCTGGCAACCTTGGTGACATCATTTATGCGACTAGATTATGCCTTATGAAATGTTTGGTGACAGCTGTGTGTGGTCCCTTTCCAGTTCTCTTCATTCTTTGCAGTAATACAGTTGTCCAAATCTCCAGCAGGATCCTTACATTATTAATATTAAAGTGGTTCTGGCATATGCAGGTCCAGAGAAGCAAAGAGAAACTCAATTGTTGATCTTAAATGACAGCGTCCCCTCAGGCTTTCAGCGTCTTCCAGTACTTGATATATTTAGAATAAATCAATATCTAATCAGAGAAACTACAACCAGTTTCTTGGACTTTGCAGACTTTCACATAGGCATCTCCCATTGTGAGAGCTGATTTCCACACACAATCAATGGTTATTCAGAAGCGGTAAAACGAATTACTTTGAAGGCTGGGCTAGTTGACTTGCACCGTGAAAATATGCTTGTGTATATTTGCCTGCCATCTTTTGAGGAAACTCGGGAAACTGTAGAGAACACCTGAGGGGGTGCCGTGAGCTGGAGGGGATGTTTGGGCACTGACTTCAGAGATGAACTCTTACATTGTTTCCATTTCAATTACTGGGAGCTTTTTGGTGGTAAAGTCTTTACAAGTAGGAAACAAGTGATATACAAGGAGAGAGTTCTTCTCTTCCTTGAAGCTCTAGAACCCAGGGAATACAAATCAAGAATGTGGACTAGGAGAGCCCCCAACTCTGGGTTCAGCATGTGATTTTTTTAACCTCCCAGTAGGAGGTGATAAGGATTTGTCATTCAATTAATTCCTTGAGATACTTTAGCACTTATAAAATGAAGTTTGTGTAGAATGATTTCTGTCTAGCTCAAAGCGAATGTGTAGGGTGATCCCTAGGCTATGTGTTGCCCATGAAGTTCCCACTGACTAGTGCTCTGAATATGTTGGGGGACAAAGTCACCCTCTGTAAGGGGAGCAGCATCTGTATTTGGTTTACTACTTTTTGAGCACTGAGGTCAACACATGGACTTTTATAGCCTGCTTTGAACTTCTTTTCATCTGGGCACATAGTTATGGAGTTTGAGACCTTTAAATGAAAATTCCATCCTCCCAGAACTCAATTTAAACCCGGGGCAAAGTGTACAGAGGTCTGGGTATTGATTCCCTGACAGTAAATTCCAAGGCGCTCAAGACTCTTTCCAATGACTAGGTTATATTGGTTGCTTTTCTGGACAACCTACCAACATGGTAATGACTTTTTCAAAAGAAGCTTACTGTAGCTAGTTAACCTTTAGTTCCAAATTAGTGAACTACTCTAAAATTCTTAAATAACGACATGCAGACTCAACACTTTAGCAATCCCTGGGCATTAAGAAACACCAGAGCTGCTTGGAGTGTTCTTTGGGATGGAGTGTGGACTCTGAGAATAAGTCGAGGGTGTGGTCTTAAAGTCTTTCCTGATTCGTTTCCTCTTTAAAATAGTTCTCCAAGTGACTCTGAGACAATGCTAGGTTCGGGAACCAGATAAGTCACTCTCAAACTTCACTACATTTCCAAATTATATTTATTTTGAACGTTCTATAGGAGACACTACTAATCAGGAATTACTTTCCACACATGGAGTGTCTTTAAGTTCTTGAGCAGAACAGTGTTACCTTTGAGCACTAAGCAATATATTCAGTGTTTTTTTTTTTTAGATCAAATTAGAATTTATTTTTTATGTCCTTTGTAATTGACTACGAGCTAGTTGGTAAGTATAGCAATTTTGTATGGTGTTCACAAAATCAGTCAGTCCTACCTGTGCCACAGTTTACCACCCTTATACACACAAGTCTTTTATGAGATGAAATCCATTTTTTCTCACCTCAAAGGGGATGAAAATTAGGGTTTGGGGGAGTTTAAATAGCTTCTCCAATCTCATCTTAGTATTTTTTCTACCCACAACTTAATTTATAATTGATTTTACATTGCATACATGACTATACATATAGAATCTCATTGTAAAAGCAGTTGTCCTTTCAACTTCCTGGGTGTACATCTTGAAAACATCCACAATAACCATTTCCAGGAACAGAGCAACTGAATCAAGATTCAATTTGCTGAAAAATCAATTAACGGAAGTCTCACAAGGCATGTGGTCCATTCTGGTCCAAAGAACAGATAACCCATATTTTGATATGCCACAGAACCATTGTTTATTTACAATTTATTAAAATGCCATAATTAGGTCAGTTTGAGTGCATAGCTTGTCTTAGCATGACGTGGTGTTGTTATTCAAAGGGTAGGTCAGTCTCATTGACATCTGCTTTGTCTTTTGCCTCTGCCCTCTGGTTCCTGACCACAAATTCTCAACCATGTTTGTAGTCAACTATTTTGAACAAAATTCCTTTCCTTACATTTATTTTCATCTCATTTTATTTAGTTTTTATGTGTGTGGCTATTTTGCCTGTGTGCATATGTATGTATAATGTACATGCTTGGTGCTGGAAGAGGCCAGAAGACCTAGAGACACAGATGCCTTGAGTCACCATGTGGATGCTGAGAATAGAGTTTGGGTCTTCTGGAAGAGCAGTCAGTGCTCATAAGTGCTGAGCCATCTTTTCAGTCCTTGGCTTTTCCTTCCTTCTTCCCTCCCTCCTTCCCTCCCTCCCTCTTTCCCTTCTTCCTTCTTTCTTTCTTTCTTTCTTTCTTTCTTTCTTTCTTTCTTTCCTCCTTTCTTTCTTTCTTTCTTTCATCATGAGACAAGTGTCAATTGTGAGGGAGTTAAAAAAGAAACTCGGTGGGTCTTGGTTATGAGATGATGATTGTTCTCATGAAGGAGATTATTCTGAGCAAAAGAATGTAACCCAAACACTGCTGTGTGATTCTGTCACCAGACTGCTTGGTTATGCGTCAAATTCATACCTTTTTATTATAACCTTTCACAGGAGCCTTGTCCTACGCCGAATTGGGGACAAGCATAAAGAAATCTGGCGGTCATTACACGTACATTCTGGAGGTCTTTGGCCCTTTACTAGCTTTTGTCCGAGTCTGGGTGGAACTGCTCATAATACGGTAAGGATGTGGCAACAATTCAGGGAGAATAACCCTATTCATTTCATCGCTTTTCAGGTTCATCTCAACTACTTTTAACTAATGACAAATGTGTGTCATGTGACTTCGTTGGAAACACAAAGACCCTAAGGCATAAATACAGTTTTCTTTAAGCTTCAAATTTAATTCATAAGAAAGGTGTTTATTAGAGAGAAGGTGAAACTTCAAAATCCCCCCTGACACCCTGGCCCTTTGACTGACCAGACAGAGTTCAATGTGCCAGCATTCCCAGGTTTTTCTTATTGTTGATGATGTCATCAGGCCATTTAACTTTACTTTTGTGACTAAGAAACGTCTATGCCAAACAACTGAGTGTATTATCAAGTCTTATGCTTCACAAAAAGTAAGAACAAGATCGAGTTTACACAGCCTGAGTGATTCATTTCCTCACATTAAACACACCAGCGATCTGCAGTTGCGAAAGTCTTTTGATTGCGCGGCTGTTAAGACTCGGTCCCCCTTCCTTGTTCTCCTGGCACGGAATAGCGCCAAGTCACTCTGAATAGCAAATTTCCTTCAGCATTGTGGGGAGTCTGTGATGTCACGTGTGTGGCTTGTATCACAGGTGCTTTGTGCTAACTCCTCCACAGGATGTGACTTGCACTTTCTGATGGTAGAATTCAGTAGGGATCCTCAGGGGACCTTGCTCACCCTGTAAACATATGGCCCGCAGGGCTGACGTCTCAGGTGAGTTTTCATTCTGCTCTTAACACACGTGACAAAGGCAGAGCTCTTAGGTGTTCATTAGCAGGAGTGATTGTTATGGCGTTAATGACAAACTACAGAGTAGGGCACACTTCATTGGTAATGACAGTTCTTTGTTGCTTAGAAATTGCTAGAATTAAATGAAGATAAAAGAGCATCCTTTCTGTTTCCCCAAGGTCTCTTATCTGGGATGTACTTCTGTATACTTATATGAGTCATGTACTCTTCAAAGTTTATCCTTACACACCTCTTAATTTTTTTTAAAAAGAGAAAACAGTTAGTTTTTGGTTCATCCCTAGCTTATGACATTTCTTTCATCTCTTAATCCTTCTGAAAAACGAAAGTAGCCTCTACAGCCCACCAACATTGAACTCATCACCCTGTCCTTCATTTACTACGTTAGCTACCAGTGTTGCATTAGGCAGTCTTACACCTTTATGACTCTCCCACCATTGACATCAGCTGCCCGTGAATCCTGGCTAGGAATCCTTTCTTAACAAGCGTCAGGAAGTCCAAGATATGTTATTTTGAGTGTAACACGCTCATCACTGAAATAAGAACACTTAGAATGCTGGCCCGTCAGGCTGTTGGGCCTCCCAGCCTGATGTCCTTTGACTTCACTGCATCTTCATCCATGCGCTTGCTGTGTAACTTTATCTAATTGCTCAGTGTTGCCGTGGGTGTGATCACTCCATTCGCAATGGACCGATATGGTGCTGGTTCGTTAGTTTATTCTTTCCACAAACTGCTGCAAATGGCAAATGGCAAGATAAAGAGATCTAAATTGGAATGAACCACAGTTCCTGCTCCTAAACAGGTGATAATCAGATGTTGCTTTAGTTGTGAAACAACTGCTTTAGTGTGTGTGTGTGTGTGTGTGTGTGTGTGTGTGTGTGTTTAGTCCAACTACCGGAATAAATTCTGGAAGCTTTTAGATACATTTGTATTCCCCTTTGTCACACTGGACTCATGCTGCTGGGGTAATTTTTCAAACAGACAAAATAACAAATGACATGAAGAAGGACATGGTTCCCTCAGTACATAAATGCTTCTCTTCTAGTAGTAACACTCATGACATATAAATAGTAATATCTGTGATCTCTAATGTTAAAGTTATACTAGCGAATTAAGTCTGTGCTGCCAGAAATAATCTGCAAAATGAATCCAGGCACATTCACCCGACAGAACACGGTGGGGACTTTAAAGTTAGGTTCACTCATTCACAAAATGTTCAGTGACTGCGCTGGGATAAAGTTCTGATTAGCAATGGACACAGTCTTGCTCTGATAGAACTCAAAGTCAAGAGTTTCAATCTGGGAGTCACAAGAAGTAGAATAGAAACCCTACTGTGATGTGCAGGACGGAAGGGACAGGTTTGGCGTTGTGTAAGAGGACACGTGGACAGCTCTGACCCAGACGGAGGGTTGAGGACACTTCCCTGGACCAAGACTGAACCCAGATAGTACAAAAAGCAGCTATTTGATGCTGATTCTGCACACAGAACAATCAAGTTGCCCTACACCTGCCACTCACGGCAGGAGCAAAAGTAGTTATTTGAAAAGGCTCTGGACAGAAGTGATTCACATCTTGATTCTGGGAAGAAGGCAAGGAAAGAGGCAGGAGAAGTTTAGACAGAGTATATGGGCAAGACCTGACCAAGGCCTAAGTATGTTTTAAGGATACTGAAATGTCATGCAAATGAAAGACTTATAAATGATTAAAAAAAAAAACAAACAACAAAAACCTAAGAAGAGCATCCGCTTTGGAGAAGGGAGAGAAGAACCTTACAATGTTTGTGGTGGTGACTGGAAATAGGGAGGAGACCAAGTTTGGAGACAGATAATGGTGGCTGGTTTCTGGTAATCCAGGGATCAAGCTTGGATATTAGGTAACCACAAGAAGGAAGAGAAGCAGAAAGGGGCTCTTACTTGAGATGTTTAGCAATTCTGTGATTTCCTTGTATGTGGCAACAAATATGTACTCATATTGAAGATGAAATGGAATATTCATTTTTCCCTTTGAAGAACTAGAGTGCAGTGACTTATTGTCTGGTTTCTGTCTCCTCAGGCTGGGATTTTGTCTGCTTATTCTGTGGTTCTCTCTCTCTACATATTCTTAAGAATTTAAGAATATTTTCTTGATTTTGGGATTTCTTTTGAACTAGAAAATTAAGAGTCAACATTCAAGATTTAGACATACTTTGGCAATGAACACCTACAAGTGCTGATTTTCACAAAGACTTTTAGACGTTAACCATTTCTGGTGTAGATAGTATTTCCTTTGGAAAGTATGGTGACTTAATAAAAGACAAAGTTCTAAGCATAATAGACATCTGTGTTAGATACATAACTACACATAACAGTCTGTGTAGATAGGTTCCACATGTTAGGTAGTAAGACCTGAAGATAAAAATGTTTTTGTGAAACTGATACTCATTGCTGCCTGCAATTAACCTACATATATTCCTTCTTAGCCCTGGAGCTACGGCTGTGATATCCTTGGCCTTTGGACGCTACATTCTGGAACCGTTTTTTGTTCAATGTGAAATCCCTGAACTTGCAATCAAGCTTGTAACAGCTGTGGGCATCAGTGAGTATTGTAGCTGTAACCGAAAATAAGAAAACAACATAACCAAGTGATTGGAGGCAATTTTTCTTTAGCGTTTTTTGCATAGTATCCCCCAAATTGGGTTCTTTGTGCTTAACGTTTCAAATGGGTGTCAGGAACTAGAGGCAGAAACACAGGATTCGAAGTGGCCTCTGCCATTATAATGTATGCCAACTGTTTACTGCATCAACAGATGTGGGAGATAATCTTCAAAAGCAGACAAATAAAAACTTCTTCTGCAATGAAATATTAAATGGACAGTGAATTGGGAGACTCTTAGAGATGAAGAACTATTGTGCGGGGTGGTTTTTGAACTGGAAATTACTCTACGCCAGTGCTATGTGAAATCATTACTCATGAATGATTCTGGGGTTATGCTTATATGCCGGGTGTATATGTTGTGTTTGTATTGTTTCTGGTGATATTGACTGTCACCCTCAGGGTTATTTTTTCTCAGCCTATTTTTGGCCATGATAAGAATTTTCTCTCAAGTTTTGATAGTTAGTAGCCCTTCTCAGCTAGAAGATTTGTTTATGGGCTACAAATTAGGAAGTTGTTCATTTTATTTTAAATCAATGGGCATAGGCATTTAGAAATTGCAGAAAGAAATGAAATGAAAAGAGGAACATGCACAAGAATCAGTTAGCCATCCAGAGCCAAATCTGATGGTCCTTTCCTGTAACATTCTAGAATGTCATGGAGAGAAGTTGCTGATTGAATTGTTGTTTTCTGAATTTTTAAGATCGTAGTTGACTAAGCTGAAAAACCCAGAGAACAGAACACAGGAGTAGCTGAGTTGCACACTCAGGGAAAACTGTTTAGAGGGTCACTCCCTCCACAGTGGCTGAATAGAATTAACACAAAGCTCAATGCACTGTGACAGCCGACTCCCTAAGGGCTAATCAGTAACAGAGTGTGAGTGATCCTATGTAAAAACATCTCTGGGACAATATACATGGATTTCTCAACAAAACAGCTTACTCCTAAACACACAGTTGTTCCGTGACATCTCTAGAAAGACAAAGAAAATGACTGAAAAGTATACATTTTGGAGTTCTCGGAATTAAGATGTAGCTGCCTATGATAGTCTTCCCTTTATAGACACCATAGATAGAAAACCTGGGAACCATTGACCTCACTGCTCTGCACCTCAGTATTGTCTTCGGGATGCTTATGCCCGTGTTGTGGGGGCTGTGAAGACGCAGCAATATGTAGAGTATTTGTGATGACGCCTGCAGCTTATTAAGAATGCAGGACAAGCACCGAGTAGTTCTACTTTTGTGGAGAAATGTCACTGGAATTCCCCTGGGACCAGGGGCTTCAATAAGGCTATGTTCTCAGCTCCTCAACAGCACTTAGGTTGCTTGTTTGTGCTCCGGAGGTATCTGTTAACTGATTGACTTTATGAGAAGAGCTCTAAGGATTTTTTTTTTTTAATTTGGCAAAAATACTTGTAGTTTGTGACCTGTTAAACCTAAGTGTTAGCAAGTTTCAGTTCTGAGGATGATTAGTGGAGAGAAACCGTTTGCTAGACAAGATATTAGATCTGGCACCGTGAGCTTTTAGGCGTGAATCATCTAACACAGTGGTTGTAATTACTATAGACCAACAACTTGGAGCTAGAACAAAGTGATCTGGTTTCTTGGTTATGTGATCTTGGTCTATTAAACATATTTATGCTCTTGTTTCACTGATTGATAAAATGCCTGTGAAATAAGAATGTATCTTGATTGACTATAGAAATGTAAAATTATATCAGAGACTTAAGATTAAAGTGTTTCTTACACATGGAAGGTTCTTGACGACTCTGATGTTGCACTAAAGGGTTAGACTAACAACCATTTTTCCATTTATCGTATCCTCTTTCCCTGAATGAGACCGAATCCCATCACAGTTGTTTCATGAAGACTGAGAAGAGAAAGGATCTCAAGGAAAATATCTTAAAGAACTCTTTAGACTATTATTAATACGTGTTATTAATTTAAAAACAGAAGCAGAAATCTTAAAGTAAATCCTGATGGACAAATATTTACAGATCCACAACATTTTCATGCTTTGGCCATGAAATTAGATAAATAATGCTGATGTGTTTGTATTTTTATTTTTATAAGTCTAAATGTCTCTGTTATGAATCCCAACTTTACTAACCTTTTTTTAAAGGCGACTTTCATATTGTAGGGAATTTAAAATTTCAAACCTCTCCCCCAAATTTAAAACAATTGCAAGAAAGGATCAGCAAGCTCTGCTTGGGCTCCTGTATTTGTAGTAGAGTTTGGTGGAGGAATCAGTCACTAGAGAAGAGCCTGATGGGTTGATGGAACCTCGATATTTCACTTTATTTTTGTCACTATCTATAGTATTAGTTTGTCAATTGTGACGTAACCTACAGATGCTGATCAGGAACAAGTTCTTAAACTCAGAAGTACTGAAAGAAAAACCAGAATATTCTCTTGAGTCTGCAGGAAGTAATTTAAGTCAATGACTTAATTGGAAAAGTCAAACTGCCTTTAAGAGGAATTTAGCTTTTAATGGAGCAACAGGGGGTGGAAACAAAAATAAAGAGTAATTTACCTGGGGCAAATCTTTCAAATACGTTATTTTTCAAAGTGAATATAGGTGATGCTCTGCCTGTTAAAGGGGGAAGGTTGAGGAGGTGAAGAAAATGGAGTTTAATTGCACGAATTACTTCCTGAGTTCCTAGCGGGAAATGAGGAATTTAAATCTCTAGTTAAGTATAGAAAAAGGTCAAACTTCAAAAGAGTTTCAACTTTTGTGAAATTTTAACCATCATTTGTAAAATAATAGCAGAGCAAGGGAGGGATTTATCTAAATGCTAATTTACCCACATTTTCTTCAAAGTAGCCCATTTCCAGCAAATAATGAAGATGAGATGCTTGTGTTTATACAAAATGCCATCCATTTTTGCAAAAATGTTAGGCATGTTGAAGTGTAAGTGGAAAATCTTGTAAATTCACTTTGACTTTTATGCCCATAAATCCGATTCTGACATGATGAACGACTTTCTGTGGAAGATCACAATTTCCACTTCTCTCATACATAGTCTGAAGGAACAGGCATGTTTATTCAGGATTTAAAATATTGAGCCTATCACTCTGGTCACTAAAGCTGGACCCTAAAGAAGCATATTCTCATGTGGAATAATATCACAGCACCACTTTCTTCTTACGCTGTGAGTTGTACTCACGTCTACCCTACCACATCTCTAAGTCTCGTATCCTTTGCTTGTTTGCTTCATGTATAGGTAAGAGTCATGTTGTATAGCTTAAACCTTGTGAACGTAATGGGGGGGGGCAAGAAAATGGCATTTGTCTGTCATTGTGAATCATAGCTAAGGGCTGAGAAGATGGTTCAGTAGGTAAAATGTCTGCTAAACAAGCATGAAGAGCTGAATTTCATCCCCAGCCTGTAATTCCAGGACTGAAGAATTAAGAGACTGAACAGCTTCCAGGACTAAATCAGTGAGCTCCACTTCAGTGAGAGATCCTATCTCCAAAATAGAGTGGAGAGCAGCTGAGAAAGGGTCAACAGCTGTCTCTGGCCTCTTAATGTATATACGCATGTGCCTACCTCGTGGTCACACTCACGCGAACACACAAGGACATGTACACACAGAGAAAGACACAATCAAACCAGCCAATGCTACAAATATGTTATGATGATTTCTGTTTTCCTGGCACCTTCAAATTATATTGAAAATATATGACTAGCCTGTGTTGACAATCCAGTCACAGAGCGTGTCTGTGGATCTCTTTAAATCTGAAGCCCAGGTATCCTTGCTCATTTTCTCCATGAGCTAAATTACAACCCAATACAGCTGAACTTTCGGTAGATATGCACAGCAAGATATACATATACTAAGGAACAACAGCCATATCTTTCAGGAGGATGATATGCAAAGTGTGGATGCAAAGTGCCCTGAGATCCTAAGACAGACAGGAACCCTTCCAGAGAACCACGAGAAAGAGAGGCAGAAGTTGTTAAAAAAAAAAAAAAAAACTGGTTGTATCAGTGAGCCCACAGATATCTTTTGAGCAATTTCCTCATTGTATCACCTGTGAGCTCGTGGTAAAGGCTTGAGCTCAGGAGTTTGCCAACCTGCCTTCTAATCTTATCTTAACACGTACTGCCTATTTATGAAGACCAGCAAATTAAACAGAAGCTGGAGTTTCACCTGCTCATATGAACTACACGACTGATACTCACAGCCATGTCGTAGAGATGTGAGCATTGACAAACACTACCCGTGGAAGTCTTTGCACCATCTCTGATAAAAGATACTAGTTTACATTTCTGTGCTGCTGGCTCTGTTTATTCCCAACAGTGAGATCATAGATACAGAGTTGGCCCTCTGCCGTCTAAAGGTACTTTCTGAGATCCGTGCATCCGGGAAATGGATGCTGAGAGATAAAGGAACCCAGCAGCTGCTGCAGGAAACAGTGGAGGCACCCACTTCATCTCATCATGTAGCATTCATATATAGCATCTGTATGTGTTGTGTTAGCAGTTTAGCACGGAGTGCTCCAAAGGCGGAAGCCCGAAAGAATATGGCTTTGAGAGACAACAATCTGTAACCTCCCTTTTCAAAATGAAAGACAGAGGCGAGTGATGGAGTGTGCAGGAAGAAATGCTTGCTAGTCCTTCAATCAGAGCGTCAGCCCCTACGATTTCCCTAAACATCCTTTTTAAATACAACGCCTTTCAAAAATGGGTTTCTTATCTCTAGGATTTATGGATATAGCTTTTTCTGCTACATTTTGATTTCTAGGAACCTGCATCATAAATAAGTAAATAATGGCCATGTGTTGCTTGCTGAATTTTCGTTTTGGTAAAAATCTGAAATAAGCCCCCCCCCCCCCCAAATTTCTTCATGTGTGAAATTAACTGTTACTTAAAGGGAGTAAAACCCAGGCCAGAGTATTGGCTCAGACTTCTTTTCTTATACAATATGCATAGATGGTGTGCATTTAAGAGGCAGATATGGTTAACATCAGAAACTCAGACCACTGCTGTGTTAACTGAATCCCAAATCCCTACTCAATAGTGTTGGATACATAGCACATGCAGCCCTAAATCCTGCTGTGTAACACAGGATGAAGCAGTGGTTATAGCAGCCCGAGATCCTCTTCAGGCTGCCCCATAGATGGCCTTGTCCCTTACTAGACTGTACCTCCAGGTCATTGAGGGGCAGCTCCTGGAAGATGATGTAGCTACCAATGAGTACAATGTTAGCCGCTCAGATAAAGCTGACCTTGGAGGAAAGCTTGAGGGACGTCAATCTTACTAAGAATTCTTTCCTCAGCTAAGGGGAAGGAAGCAAGGTGAAAGGATCAATTCCTGGTGATTGATTTGTGTCTTCCATTTGTCTGGGGAAAGTTTAGAAAATAGAAAATAATGTCCCAGATCCTCATTGGTTTTCCTATTTCAATGGACACCAAGCATTTAAGAGGCAGCGGACCTTCTTTTCCCAAATATGCACATGATCAGGTGTTCTTCAAATGAGAATATTTCTTCTTGCCCAGTGTGTCCACGTCTTTATTTCCCTCTTTTTCCCCTTTCCTCTTTCTCCCAGGGCCTCTTTTCTACTTAGGACCACCTGAGAAAGGCAAGCACAGGGCTCCTTTGTTGCTGGGGACTACCAAGGACAAGGTTTTTTTTTTTTTTTCCCCACCTTCATGTCAAAGTTGGACCTCTTTAATTAAAAAAAAAAATCATTCTCATGTGATGAGCCATTAATTACACAAGGTTTGACATAAAGAAATAGATACTCATCCAATATGAAAAAAGCAGGGTTGCCTTTCATTATTTTTGATATATCACTTCTCTGTACGTATTAGAGACAGGTAAATTATTTTATTTTTAATCATTCCTGATAAAATAATGCCTTTGATCACTGACAGTGGATCTATTTATTTCCTCATATATTCAGCATCAAAAATAGCTTAAATATGATGCCCCCTACCTCAGGCCCTTTTGACCATTTGCTGTCATTATTACTTTGAAATACTACATTACTACACCCTGTTTCACTTTCAGTGGACTCTTCTGAGCTCCCTGAATTTGTATTTTTCTCAGTAAGACTTAACTCACTGCTTCATTTATTCATTAGAATGTCTACCCTTACTCTGGGGGTATGATTTGCAAAGCAAATTGTATTAATTTAGTATGTATAGTGTGGTAGCAATCTGCCTATATCGTGTGAACCATTTCCTAGTGAAAGTCTGTTCCTCTTTCTTTTACCTCACCCCCCATTACCTCTTTAGTTTTGGTTGTGTATACACATTTATGTACATAGTTTGCTCATTCTTTTCTCCACAGAATTTGTTGAAATGTTGCTGTAAACTAAATTTCAAATTTGAAAATTTTTGATGGTTTTTCATCTTTAGATACTTGATATTATTTTTATAAATAATCCTCAGACATCCTGTTTTCCTGTCTCTGATTTTGTCATCTCCCCGTGCACACATCCATGGCTCTTTACCCTAGTCTGTGGGTCAGTAGCTGCTATAAACACCTTTGCATGTGATATATCATTGATTGGATACTGATTTTAGATAGCTGCCAACACCATTGAAAGAATGTGCATTAATTAGGTTCTATTTGGGTATAGATTGTTTTAATTTTCCCATTAGTCATTGTGTATTGCTAATACTGCAGCAATTTCTAATTAGGGAAGTGAGGAAATGATTATATTATATAAGGGAAGCATGTTGACAACTCTTGATTGTACACATTCCAATTTGAATGGTAAGAATTTTGCTAGTGTTTTATTTTTAAATTCCTGAGAAATAATTCCGTACATTTTAAAAATATTTGCTAAGGGAGAATATACCTTTACAAAAAAAGAAAAAAAGGTTTATTGATGAAAACCATATGTGTCCAGAATGAAATAGCTGCCAACTGCTTTTGGCTGCACTGTGCCTACTACCTTTTTTGCAAGAACATAAAGTTGAAATTCACTGTGTAGAGTAGCCCTAGACTTTCCATCGGATAAGAAAAGGAAAACCTAGAACATCACTATTAAAACTGTTCCTTAACATTTTTGATAACCCAGTTTACTCATTCATTCATTTATTCATACAACAAAAATATATTAGCTATCTACCAGGACCAGGGATAGAGCTGATTGCTGGCAGTGTCTGAAGGAACAGCCATTGTTCTGTCCTTGGTGTGGATGGGGTGGCTTCTTGGGAAACTGTCAACATTATCATTAAGAAGAAGAAAGTCTCCTGGCTTCAGACCCACTGTGCATCCTACATTGAAAAAAATCCCCCCAATTTTTTTTTTTATCAAATAGTTAACACTTGTAGGGTAGTTAAAGCTCACCCCTCATTATCTATTTGGAAAGCAGGGAGGAAGTTCAACAAGAGTACTGGTAGGACTGGTCCTGATGTTGAAGAACAAGACCTGATACATAGCACTTCTTACCCTTTCCTGAGTCAAATTCAGCATTCTCATGACCTGATGGAAGACTCAGGATGAAATTCCACCCTCTCATGGCCCACTGGATGACCTCAGAATGAAATGTAATGCTACCATGATGCATGGGATAACTTTAGAGTGAAGATATTTTATTCTTCATTACTTTATTGTTATCACATGGCAATGTATGTTCATTCTTATCAAAACACAAAAACCAAAACAGGTTCTCTGACTGTGCAGGAGTTTTATCTAAACCTTTCAGGCTTGAATGTATATCAAGAAAGTGTTTTACGGCTGGAGAGATGGCTCAGTGGTTAAGAGCATTGCCTGCTCTTCCAAAGGTCCTGAGTTCAATTCCCAGCAACCACATGGTGGCTCACAACCATCTGTAATGAGGTCTGGTGCCCTCTTCTGGCCTGCAGGCATACACACAAACAGAATATTGTATACATAACAAATAAATAAATATTTAAAAAAAAAAGAAAGTGTTTTAATAGAGGAGAGACTAGATCTGGTGCAGAGCCTGCGATTCTGAACTTCCTAGGTTCTGGTAGTTCATGTCAGCACTCCAGGCTTATAGATCACATTTCTACTGTCAAGGACCTGAGACATCGATGTGCTCATGGGGGTTCGCCTTTTATGACGTTGTCCATTTGTTTGCAGCTGTGGTGATGGTCCTAAATAGCATGAGTGTCAGCTGGAGCGCCCGGATCCAGATTTTCCTAACCTTTTGCAAGCTCACAGCGATTCTGATAATTATAGTCCCTGGAGTGATACAGCTAATTAAAGGTATGGACTGAAAAGTAAATGCGTTTTAAACTGTGTCTCTGCTTCTGGTCTCTTCCAACACTGGCTTTCGCTTGTCTAGCAGAATCCTTAATTAGTCTTCGCTTGTGGAACTTAAACTCTGTACTGTCAACTAATTGATTTGAAAGGCTGCACGGAAGGTAAGTTAGTATTTATAGCCGAATGGCAGCCAGAGGATTAAGAGTAGACCAAGCAACAAAAATAAGGGATCGGTATAAATTGAAATTGCTTGGAACAAAAACCC